CTTAAAGTATTTATAATATATTTGTTACGTTGTTATTGAAAACGTGAATTGAAATTAGATATTAATTTCAATTAGCGATAAAATAAAACATATAATTTATACATGAATTTTCCATTCACGTACAATGGATTAAAAGATTAACAATTTGCGAAAATATTTTAGAGAAAATGTAAATATTTTTTTTTACGTTTATAATATAGATTTTTAGAATTTGCAATACGTGTGTGATGTACATGAGAATCTAATGCATGTGCAACTATACAAGTTATTATATACTGCCATTAAAACATAATAAATATGTAGTCTTGTCTGTTCTATTTTTATGATTCAACGTGAACAATATTTGTTCAATTGAGGATTAAATTGAAGCTAAGAAATAATAATATATATATGTAACCAGACATGCGTAACAGATTTTCACGACTTCTATACTTTATGTACTGGAAGAATACAATGGTCGTTTTTAGATAGAAATTACGAAAATCTACAATAATACTGCTGTGACCAAGTTTTATATGAAAATATAGTCGAAATCAATTATTAAAACATGTTCCTTATGGTTCTCTTTTAATCACTTTGTATAAATATTTTTGAATGTGATAGATAAGTAAAATTTTGATGTAAGAAATACATTCAAATGTTAAATTAAGTACTAAAAGTTGCTCGATTGTTATTATAAGAACAAGTACCTTTTTGCTTACTTATATTAGTGAAATTGTGTTCAATACTCTTATGAATTTAAAGGAGCCTAAATACATCTTTAATGTCTATATAAAATGGTACTACTTTAGTGCTATATATATATATCACAAAAGAAACAAGGAACATGCAATTTAATTAATAAAAATAAATCTTAGTACTAATGACAAAAAAATCAGTATAAATTTCCTACAGTTAAGCTATCATTATATGCAGAACAATGCATATCAAAGGAACGTATTCAGCAGTTCTGTAATTGGTTGTAAATGACGTGTGCCTGACATTACATACTGGAAATGTCGATTGTAACATTTACTGTGCTATACCTGGCGCCTCGGTAACGGTGGTATAGACTTCGGACAGCATTAATTCCTGTGTGCTTCATGAAACTGTATGTATCTGATGGTTGTATTAATCTAACAGAAATCTTGTAACAAATCAACGCGACTTCCAAATGTAAAATAAAATTTTGGTATCTACTGAAAATCGCAAAATTTCATTGGAATTAAACCATAAAACCACTAACATTTTGTTTTGCGTATAAATTACCCTCCGTTCGTATAATTACCTTTCTAACATTAGAACCTAGAATATTCTCCTTCTCATTATATTTTATATTATTTACATTAGCAGTATAATTATTATTTTCGAAAGTATAAATAAGTTATATTCCAAAATTCCAGTTGAATCGAAACTTTCATAATACACATAACTAAAATGTAAGTACAGTGTTTATGCGAAGTGTTTCATAACATACAGGAACAATTTGAGAAACAAATAGGATACACAATAGGTCCTGCAAAGTTTATTAAAGACGGGCATTCACCCAAGTCTCCATCGACGAGTTACCGCAAATTTCCTTAACAGTATCTCGGTATTCGCCCCGATAAGCGAAGCCAAGGAAAATCTGGCACTTGCAAAGTGTCCGTCAAATTCAATTTGCTCGTACGAAGACTGTTTGTAGTTCCACTGGTCAGCCCGATGGACTACGGACTGTCGGACCTACAACTTGCCGCGCACAGATTTGCCCTAATCTCGTTTGCTGAAGTCCAGGAACATTCACGCTGCGGCAGAGTTATATACCTGCGCCCCTAACGAAATCACTATAACGAGGACATCGCGGACATCCTCGAGGACGGCTGCTGTTCAATTGGAAATAATTCATCAAAATCATTCTCTTTTTCATCTCATCCACTATTTAAGTATTTGTTGATCGTTAATTTTGTAGTATTTTAAGGTCTGTTGATTCTCAGTAACGAATAAAGTGTATAAACAATTATGCTTTATCACGCGTATGTTGAAATAGTTATAAATAATTTGATTTGAAACATTTTGTATTGTTATAGGTTTTCCACTACAAATTCACCTTTTTGCAAATCAAATTCACCCTTTTGTTGTATAATATTATAATAGATTATAGAATGTACAATTATTTACTAGAATTTTTGCAGGTATTTATTTCGATATGTATGTGTTAAAGTTTGCATGATTATCGAAGTAGTTTATATATTCACTGATCAACCGTTTCATTAATTATAGTGTAGCTACGAAGGTAACGAGGCAACGATCTCTCATGGATTTCCAATTTTCGTTGCTCCGTGTTATTTCTTCCGTTTCGCGGTATTGAATCTCCAGGTAATTTTGTTCGCAAAGCAACCGCGAGTTTTTGTAATACGAAACGAATATTCCGAGACTCCTTTAGCCACCGGAAGTCGTCACGCAACCCCTTTGCCTCCATTTCTTTGTCAGGCGATAAACGACTTATGAATGGAGGTCACATTTGAGACTTCTTTGATGTCAAATTGCTTTGAGAAACGAGGCTGTTAACCATTTTACTTAGCAGTTCTAGGTACAGCTTAATTGTGCCACGAAATAACCTGTTCAGCGACTTGACTACACTCCTGAAACAGAGGCTCTCAGGATATGAAGTGGAAGTTCAAGACGTGAAACTGCCAAGTGCCAGATTCCACTTATAACGTCTTAAACGCTGCTAACGCGTAACCGCATTTCTACTTTAATTACTGCGTATTACCAACATTCATTACAGAATCAATAACAATTTTTCGTAGTGCGACTTCCAGACTGACATCTATTCTTTACTGAAATTCATTTATGAATTCGAAGAACAATCGTTTCACTAAAAATGTTAGATACTCTCGTGTCTAATCAAACTCCATTTCTTTTTCCATGTTAGTAATTTGAATTTTGATAAAATTTTGATTATAAGCTGCAAGTTATTCTTATCGGCGTAAAGAAAGGATCATATTCGTGTTATTTTCAATTTAATTTCTATAAAGTGGGGTAATCGAGAGTCACCGCAGTCGCGATGCATCAGTAAATTGTGGACTGAATGTTGTGCTGCATGGAAATTGCATAGGTACACTAAATAGTGGCATTTTAGTGCGCCTTTCTGCTAATAAGATCTTCCGAGTGATAGTCATAGCCGAGTGTTTAAAGTTACACATTAAGTTTGATACGCGCGTTATCCGTCTCGTGCGAGTCCCTTTCGAGGTAGATTTGAATCAGGCCAAATTTGTTTTCAGAGTTTCTTATCGAGTGAAAACGTAACCGTGTTTCCAAGGAGTTCTATATTCGGCAACAACGCGAATGCTGCTAATGCGTAACTTGTACATTGCATAATTAATTCTAAAAGGAAACTAGGTCACTTTTGCGTCAGAAAATTTGCCTGGCAACCGTGCAAATGTGATTCCTTAGAATTAATAACGAAAATACCATGGTTCACGTAAGTTTAATTGGATTCATTTTATTGATGCAATCACAGATACATTACATTCTGTTCATATTACAAAATTCTTATGTCATGTCAATATAGAAATGTACAATAAAATAAAATATCTTTTTATAAAGTCAGAAATAAAGATTGTCTAACAAGAAAAATTACAAAATAACGAATTGGTAATTATTTAGTATAGTTTGTTCCCCACCGATTTCGATGATGGTTGGATATGTTGTCGGGAACGTAATTCTAAGCAACCTTTTCCTGTGACAAAAGTATCGCTGTTTTTAGTATTCGAGGTAATCACAAAAAATCTTTGCTTTGCATACACAACTAACACAACTCTTTTTGTTGTAGTAAGAAAAAGTACCACTGCAGTAGACGAATAGTAACAAATTTTCATAAAGTTGACGTCTATTGCAAAAATTATATTACATTATTTTTATATACATTATAATATCGATTGTATCGAATCGTAGTTTAATCCTCGTCGGTAATTAGATATTTTAAAAACTTTTTTCTTGAAGAAGAATGTTGTACGTTCTGTTGACTGATGGCGCCACCATTCACTTTTCGAAAATTTGGCGAAGTTCATCACTTTATATCGAAACTGAGAGCTTCAATAAATGATTGCACTTTATATGCAATACACTTTTGCTGCTACTATTCGTTAACAGTTCACTTTACGTTATCGCGATTTTAAAAGCCAACTAAATTTGATTAATAATTCATTTGATACATCACTTTTATAGACCAATAAAAAGAAATACTTGGGAAAGCAATATAGGTAAACCAGTACACCTCAAACGTATTTAGTTCATCTCAGCACTAATTTTCGAATATACTGTTACTTTACATATCATATTCTTCTCATATTTCCATCCGAATAAACGTATAAAAATGTCTAATGATGACACTCAAACAAATACAGCTCGTTTAATGAAACACAATACATACCATGGATCTTGGATTACAAGTTCTCCAACCATTCCTCTATTCCTCAGACATAGCTTCTTCTGATTTCCATTCTCTTGAAACTGAAACAATGAAATCTCCACACGAGTCAACAATTCCATTGCACAATTATATAAACATAAGAACGCACCCCTTACCCAGGATGCGACATTCACATTAAGAAGCACTAATCACATAGTCGATCAAATCTCAGCAATCCTACTTAACAACAATGCAAAAATGACGAACTACTCAATCTCCTTAACAGAAAAAGAATCAAAAATCCTATTAGAATCATTAAAAACACCCAGAAAAGAAGACAAAACTTTCTAAAAATCAGCTGTCCCGATTCAAAACAAGGTATACTCCATGAAAGTCTCATCAATCCGCCGTCGCCAATCCCCAAACCATTCGGGTTGTCCCGGGGAAAAGGCCAAAGAAGAATAGTCGAAAGGTGAAGGTCACATCGTTCAAAAGAATTTCATATCGAGCACGCGAACCGGTCGCGTCGA